GACTACAGCTCTCAGAGTACCTCGATTTCCTCAGAAACTGCTGTACACTCCTGAGATCACCCACACCACGTCACAATCTGAGGCATCTACTACCTACCCAGGAGGCTGATTTCCACACTAGACACTCAGGGAACTGAGACATCACCAAGTCAGTCACTCAGGAATCTACCACCTTTGCAACTAGCTTAGTTTCCTCAGAGACAGCGGTCTTCCTGAGGGGCTCCCACACCACATACCAACCTGAGGCAACCACCACATTCCTGAGCAGCCCAGTTTTACAAACAACCTAGCTCCTGACATACTCAAACAACAGCCTACACTCGGGAATCTACAGCCTTTCCAAGCAGCTCAATTACTTTTCACAGAGTGCTTGTATCTCTTGGGATCCTCCTACACCTCTTCCTGGCCCCAGGGGGCTAAGCCCCCCCAGGGCAGCCCGATCTCAACTCATGCAACTCAAGCCCCCGAGACTTCACAGATTACACTGCTCACTCAAGAATCTCGCAACCTACTCAGTCAGCTCTGTTTCCAGAAACGGCTGTACCTCCTGACACCTCCCACAGTACCATCCCAACCCAGGCATCCACAGCATCCCAAAACAACTCCGTCTCAACATGTACCTCATCCAACTGAATCCTCCACATTGGTCTTCACTCAGGGGTCTACCACTCCCAAAGCGCTCACTTCACAGAAACAGTTGTACCTCCCGACACCGCCCGGCCTCTGCCATCACTGAGGCCACTGGAGCATCATCAAGCAGCCTGTTTCCAACACAAGCAACTCAAACAACTGACATCCCGGAAATATCATCACCCGAGAAATTTACAACCTAACTGGATGCGCCCAGCTCTCCCCGAAAACGTTTTCCCCCCTCCTTTCTCTCCACAGCCCCGGCAGGGAGGCTGTCTACAACCCCTCGCAGCCCAATTTATGGTACCTGTAACTCCGGCAACTGAGACCGCCCAGACTCCACTCTTCACTGGGAATCTCCAACCTTCCCCAAGCAGTTCAGTCTCCTAGCCACAAGCTGTATCTGCTGAGGGCTACCTCACTTCAGCCCTCACTGGGCCTTCTACAGTCTCACCAAGAAGCCCCATTTCCCCATATTCCTCCAAGCCCCTGGCACTTGGCAAACATCAGTCTTCACTCAGGAATCCGCAACCAGCTCAGGTTTCTCAGAAACAGCCCTGCCACCTGGAGACATCCCCACTCCCAGCCCCACCCAGGCTTCTACAGCCTCCCCAAGCCACCCCCATTTCTACAGATGGAACCCAGACCACTGGGATGTCACATGCCACAGTCTTCACTCAGGGACCTACAACCTTGCCAACCAGCACAGTTTCCACAGAAACAGCTGTCATTCCTGAAACCTCCCACACCTCAGCTGTCACTGAGGAGGAGTCTACAACCTCACCATACAGCCCTCCTTCTACACAGACAGCTCAAGGAACTGAGGCATCCCCAAGTGGATTCACTCCAGAATCTACCATCTTCACTTCTCCCTCAAGTTCAAGAGAAACAGCTGCCTTCTGAGACCTCCTCCACCTCACCAGTAAATGAGAGGCATCTACCACTTTTCTGGTCATTGATTTCCACACATGCCCACCAACCAACAGAAACCTCTGAAACAAAGTTCACTCAGGAGTCTACAACCTTCCCAAGCAGTTCAGTTCCCACAGAAACAGCTGCTCCCTCCTGACACCTCACCCACTATAGGACAGTCTGAAACATACACAACCTCGCGGCAGCTTGGTTTCAACACGAGTAACTCAAGCAACGGAGACCTCACAAACAACATCCTTCACTCATGAGACTACAGCTCCCAGAGTACCTCATTCCTCAGAAACTGCTGTACCTCCTGAGATCACCCACACCACGTCACAATCTGAGGCATCTACTACCTACCCAGGGAGGCTGATTTCCACACTAGACACTCAGGGAACTGAGACATCACCAAGAGTCATCACTCAGGAATCTACCACCTTTGCAACCAGCTTAGTTTCCTCAGAGACAGCGGTCTCTCCTCAGGCTCCCACACCACACACCAAACCTGAGGCAACCACCACATTCCTGAGCAGCCCAGTTTCTGCACAAACAACTCAAGCTCCTGAGATATCTCAAACAACAGCCTACACTCGGGAATCTACAGCCTTTCCAAGCCGCTCAATTACCACAGGGAGTGCTTGTATCTCTTGGGACCTCCTACACCTCTTCCTTGACTGAGGGGCTACAACCCCCAGGGCAGCCCGATCTCAACTCATGCAACTCAAGCCCCCGAGACTTCCCAGATTACACTGCTCACTCAAAATCTGCAACCTTCTCAGTCAGCTCTGTTTCCACGAAAGAACGGCTGTACCTCCTGACACCTCCCACAGTACCATCCCAACCGAGGCATCCACAGCATCCCAAAACAGCTCCGTCTCCCAACACATGCAACTCATCCAACTGAATCCTCCATAACGGTCTTCACTCAGGAATTACCACTTCCCAAAGAAGCTCATTTTCCACAGAAACAGCTGTACCTCCCCGACACCGCCCAGCCCTCGGCCATCACTGAGGCCACTGGAACATCATCAAGCAGCCTGTTTTTCAACACAAGCAACTCAAACAACTGACATCCCGGAAATAGTCATCACCCAATCTACAACCTTCTCAAGCTCAGCATCCCCAGAAAACGTTTTCCCTCCCAACACCTCACTCTCCACAGCCCCGACGGAGGCGTCTACAACCCCCTCAAGCAGCCCAATTATGAAACCTGTAGCTCGGGACCTGAGACCGCCCAGACACCACTCTTCACTGAGGAATCTACAACCTTCCAAGCAGCTCAGTCTCCCACAGACACAGCTGTATCTGCTGAGGCTACCCTCACTTCAGCCCTCACTGGGCCTTCTACAGTCTCACCAAGAAGCCCCATTTCCCCATATTCCTCCCAAGCCCCTGACACTTGGCAAACATCAGTCTTCACTCAGGAATCCGCAACCAGCTCCAGGTTTCTCAGAAACAGCCCTGCCACCTGAGACATCCTCCACTTCAGCCCCACCCGAAGCTTCTACAGCCTCCCCAAGCCACCCCATTTCTACAGATGGAACCCAGACCACTGGGATGTCACATGCCACAGTCTTCACTCAGGAACCTACAACCTTGCCAACCAGCACAGTTTCCACAGAAACAGCTGTCATTCCTGAAACCTCCCACACCTCAGCTGTCACTGAGGAGGAGTCTACAACCTCACCATACAGCCCTCCTTCTACACAGACAGCTCAGGAACTGGGCATCCCAAGTGTAATTCACTCAGAATCTACCATCTTCACTTCTCCCTCAAGTTCAAGAGAAACAGCTGCGCCTTCTGAGACCTCCTCCACCTCACCAGTAAATGGGGCATCTACCACTTATTCCTGGTCATTGATTTCCACACATGCCCACCAACCAACAGAAACCTCTGAAACAAAGTTCACTCAGGAGTCTACAACCTTCCCAAGCAGTTCAGTTCCCACAGAAACAGCTGCTCCCCTCCTGACACCTCACCCACTATAGGACAGTCTGAAACATACACAACCTCGCTAGGCAGCTTGGTTTCAACACAGTAGCTGAAGCAACGGAGACCTCCCAAACAACATCCTTCACTCATGAGACTACAGCTCTCCAGAGTACCTCGATTTCCTCAGAAACTGCTGGACACTCCTGAGATCACCCACACCACGTCACAATCTGAGGCATCTACTACCTACCCAGGAGGCTGATTTCCACACTAGACACTCAGGGAACTGAGACATCACCAAGAGTCATCACTCAGGAATCTACCACCTTTACCTTAGTTTCCTCAGAGACAGCGGTCTCTCCTCAGGGCTCACACCACATACCAACCTGAGGCAACCACCACATTCTTGAGCAGCCCAGTTTCTGCACAAACAACTCAAGCTCCTGAGATATCTCAAACAACAGCCTACACTCGGGGAATCTACAGCCTTTCCAAGCAGCTCATTACCACAGGAGTGCTTGTATCTCTTGGGACCTCCTACACCTCTTCCTTGACTGAGGGGGCTACAACCCCCAGGGCAGCCCGATCTCCAACTCATGCAACTCAAGCCCCCAGACTTCACAGATTACACTGCTCACTCAAGAATCTACAACCTTCTCAGTCAGCTCTGTTTCCACGAAAGAAACGGCTGTAACCCTCCTGACACCCTCCCACAGTACCATCCCCAACCGAGGCATCCACAGCATCCCAAAACAGCTCCGTCTCAACACATGCAACTCATCCAACTGAATCCTCCATAACGGTCTTCACTCAGGAATCTACCACCTCCCAAAGAAGCTCACTTTCCACAGAAACAGCTGTACCCTCCCGTACCACCCACCCCGGCCATCACTGAGGCCACTGGAACATCATCAAGCAGCCTGTTTTCAACACAAGCAACTCAAACAACTGACATCCCGGGAAACAGTCATCACCCAGAAATCTACAACCTTCTCAAGCGCTCAGCATCCCCAGAAAACGTTTCCCTCCCAACACCTCACTCTCCACAGCCCCGATGGAGGCGTCTACAACCCCCCTCAAGCAGCCCAATTATGAAACCTGTAACTCAGGCAACTGAGACCGCCCAGACTCCACTCTTCACTGAGGAATCTACAACCTTCCCAAGCAGCTCAGTCTCCACAGCCACAGCTGTATCTGCTGAGGCTACCCTCACTTCAGCCCTCACTGGGCCTTCTACAGTCTTATCAAGAAGCCCCATTTCCCCCATATTCATCCCAACCCTCTGACATTTGCCAAACATCAGTCTTCACTCAGGAATCCTCAACCAGCTCAGGGTTCTCAGAAACAGCCCTGCCACCTGAGACCTCCTCCACTTCAGCCCCACCCGGCTTCTACAGCCTCCCCAAGCCACCCCATTTCTACAGATGGAACTTTGTCCACTGATACTTCCCTAATGACAGCCTTTTCTCAGGGACCTACATCTTTTCCAAGCAGTACAGCTTCATCACAAACAACTTCACCTTCTGATACCTACCTCACCACAGTCAGAACACATCATGCATCTTCACCTGTTTCACAGCCCATTTTCTACTCCACTAACTCAGCAACGAGTCCTCCCAAGCAGTCCTCACTCAACAATCCACCATCTTTCCAAGCAGTAGCACTCTAGTGGTAACTAGTCATCCCTTCCCGAGCCTCTTCCTCTACCATTATTAATGAAGAATCCCCAATCCCAAGTACGCCCATCATCAGAGCCAGCCCCAACTACTTTAATAACAGAAGGGCTTTCATTCCCTCCACACAGTTCTAACTCACCCCTGCCTCCTGCATCATCTGACAACTCCCCATCCCCAGTCTCATCTTCGTCGCCCACTTTTTTTGCAGCCCATCTTCAGCGTTCCCCAACATCAACAGGTAGCCCTGAGACCACATTTCACCTTGCTGCCTCTTTGACTTCAGCACCTCATTTCCCATTCTTGCCAGTGTCTGACTCCTCTTCATCTCAGACAGGGCCTCTTGCTTCTTCTCCTCCGTCCTCCACCTCACTTCACTCCCCTTACAGCACCATCCCTATGTTCAGCAGCAGCTCTACTGCCCACCCTCCGTTCACCAGCATACACCCTACTTCCATGAGGACTCAATACACGTCTTTGCCACCAAGTAAGTTTCATGTAGTTGATTCTGTGTTTCTCCCTCAGGTCTCAGCTCTCAATCTTCTTTTCCTATGTGGGCTCATGTTGCATGTTTTCTGACATCACAGATACCAGTGCATATTTCTCTGTTGATATGTGTTGTCTTTGGCATGGGGTTGGTAATACTGTAACAGCTCTCACTATGCATCTCGGGCTAGGTTTAATCTTGTGATCCATCTGCCTCTTCCTCTTGAGTATTGTGATTATAAGTGTAGGTTCATCATGCTTATCATTCTGTTGGTTCTTTTGATTCATAGGGTTCCTTCCTTCTTTCTTTCCTCTCTTGTGTTTCTTGTATCCTTAAACCCATTTCTGTCTCCTTTCTCCTCTAGTTTCCTGGAATAAGGCAGGAATGAAAGGTTTTTTTAAAACTTGTGCCATCATTTAGTCTTATTGCCTGTCAAGTTCAGGGCTTTGATGACACCTGGATGGGAGCAAATTTTTTTTTGTTCCCAGAGCTTTTTCAATGATCTTTTTTAATTCTGTCATTTTCCAGGCAACTGCAAGAATGGAAAGTGGAATGGAAGACAGTGTGAATGCAAGTCAGGCTACACTGGTCAGCTCTGTGACTCCATCCTGTATTCCTTCCCAGTAGGTAATGACCACTCTCTCTGTGTCTCTTGACATTTGAGGTGAGTTGGGCATTGTGGAATGATTAATCAACCATTCCCATGGCATCACTGCCGGAAGAGGTGGTAATGTCACTTTTGTTCTGGTCCTCCTGCCTCTAACTTCTGATCTACCCTCCCTGGCCCTCCTTTTTTCTATCAGGAGGTCTCTACCCTAACTCTTTGAGAATCCTTCCACCTGACTCCCTGGGTCTCCATCAGGCCATTAGCTCTCTCTGGAATTCAAAAGACAGGGGCTGGGGTGTAGGGGGATAGTTCCATCAGTAAAGTATTCACAGCGCAAATGGAGATCTGCAATTGGTTCCCCCAGAACCCATGTCGAACTCTGGACACAGTGCTGTGAACATGTAATCTTAGCCCTCAGGAGGAGACATGCAGATCCCTGAAGGTTCTCTGACCATCCAGTCTAGCCAGATTGGTGAGAGACTGTCTCAAACACTAAAGTGGAGAGAGAGAGGAAGATGAGCAACACAGATGTCTGAACTCCATACATGTGTATACACACACAAAAATTCCCAGTATATACACATACATACACATGGGTAGAGACAGAAGTCTTATCCACCCTCAGCTACTCTTGAGTTTCTATCCTCCTTTCTACTCATTCTTTCTCCTCCGTGGTACCAATAGGCAGGAACACTTACTTCCCCCAGAGACATTCCTGCAGGTCCTCAGGGTCACTGTCTCACGCACCTTGTTGCCTGGTCCCACAGAAATCCCGAATGTTATCAACGCTACAGTGACCATGATGGTAAAAAGTGACTCACCGGAACTTCACAAGTGACTTAAAGAACACATCCTCTGAGGCCTACAAGAACTTCCAAAACCTCTTCCTGAGCCAGGTAGGAGCAGTGGCACTCAGTCGAGTGAGGGGCAATGGGTGCCTATCACACTTTGTCATCTTCCGCCAGCCCTTTGCCTCCCAGAGTTCTAAGGTAGACTCCTCCCAGAGCAGCCACCCTTGAGCCCTACCCTACTCAGATCCCTTCTGCCCCTTCCCTTTCTTTTTCCTATGGGCTCCACCCACACCAGCGTGGAGCTGTCCAAAGATGGGTCATACTCCAGCTCTGAATGATCTGTTTTTTTTTTTCCAGATGGATAAAGTTTACGAGGGCGATGACCTTCCCCAGTACAAAGAAGTGATCATTAAAGAACTGCTGTGAGTGTTGAGGGCGGAGGGGACTCCTTCTTGCTCTGCTACTTCCTTCCTATCCCGAGGTTAGGCTATCAGCATCTGTCTGGGACTGGGGGACTCCTGAGAGCCCTGACTCATTCATCATTTGTTCTTCAAGGTTAGTCATTTATAATTTGCTCATTCACTCATTCATAAAATTTGCCATGCACTCATAAATTCATCGATTCATTTCTTTATCATCGCGGTTACACATTCATTCACTCATTCATCCCCAGTTTGCCCCTTCATTTGTTCATATGGTTACTCAGTTAGTTGTTCATGTAAGTTCTGTCATCATCATTCATTTGCTCATGACAGCCGTTCGTTCAGCATATGTTCATCCGTGCTTGCCTCTCTCATTTATTCATCATGCTTGTTCACTGTTTATGCTTATTCATTTTCATTATTTACCATGTTTCTTCATTCCCCATTAGTGCATTTATTCATCTACTCCTTCATCTTTATAGTCATTGATTTTTCATTTGGCAAATTTTTATTAAAAGCCAACCCTAGCTGAGTGCTACACACTTGTAATACTAGTCTTGAATGCTTAAGACAGGAGTGGTCAGAAGTTGAAGGCCAGCCTGGGCTACACAGTGAGTTCCAGGCCAACCTGGGCTATGCAAAGAAAGCCTGCTTTAACAAAAGAAGAAAACCAAAATGAACAATTGTGTTAGATGCTTGGAATACGCGGTAGCCCTGGATACAGAATGGCAGAGCACAGGGGTCCCAAGAGTGGAGAGTGCCTGGGAAAGATCCCAGAGGCAAACGTGGTCAGCTGCAGAGAATTCTTCCCAGGAGGAGGGTTCATAAGTAGGGGAGGCTAGGGAAAGAGTTGCAGTGGGGGGAGGCACTGGCGGGAGCCCAGAGCAGTGGTGGTGGTGGTGGAGGAGGAGGGAATTCTAGAAACTTGGAAGTGCACTTAATAGTGGCAGCAGAGGTGGAGAAATGACTCGTGCCAAGCAATGAGACCCGTCCATATCAGCAGCTGTCCTGCAAGGGACAGGATCTGACTTGCAGACCTGATAGCTGTGTCTGGCCGCAGGGTAGAGGAAGGTGGGCAGATGTCCACACTGGAGGTGATGGTGTCAATGACTAGAGAGGGGAATTAAGGGAGTCCCGATCTCCCCACCACACTGTGGGGATTCGTGGAGTGAATGAAGGGAGAGTTTAGGAAATAACGGATTTCTGAGCTGCTGAGGAACAGGGTGCCTGGACTTGGATGAGGAGTACGAAGGCTGCTGGCTTCTGCTGGCAGGGACCATGACAGATGACTTCCTTTGTCCCAAAATTGTTCCCTGCAGCAGTATCACCGGCCAATTTAGTGAGAGAGGCTTCAAGGGTAGAGTCCCACTTTTTAATAGGAACTCATGATTTCGTCCTTCTCATCTCCTCTTTCTTTCCTCCCCCTCCCCCTTCACTGCATCTCCCTCCTCTTCTCCCCCTCCTCCCTCCTTCAAGCACTGAGATTGTAGACATTAGCCACCACATTCAACTGCTTTTAATTTCTGGAAACTCTGCCATTTTGCTTTCCTCCATTTTCCATTGCCAGCGACACATCTTCACTCAAGAGTCCCTATATTTTGGGTTTTTTAAAAATTACATTATTGTGTGTGTTATGTGTGCAACAAATGTGTGCTTGTACCACTGCACACACATGGAGGAATGGAGGTCACAGGATAACTGGCAGGAGTTGTATCTCTCCTTCTGCCATTGGATCCCAGAACTGAACTCAAGTCAGGAGGCTTGGCTGCAAGTGCCTCTACCCACAGAGCCACCTTGATGATCCAACCCCTCTATTTTCAGAGATAAACTTCATCCGTTAGCTTTTGTGAGAAACACTGAGATTTGCTGATCTTGAATTGTCTTACTCACCTAGCTCTTTGGAATTTATTAGCTGCCCGAGGGTGGGGGCCCTCATTTCTTCTCTTTTGTTCCTTTTCTTTTCCTTTCCCTCTTCCCTTCCTTCCTCCCCCACCCCCCTCCATCCTTTTGCTTCTTTTGGATTTTTGTAGCCCAGGTTGGCCTTGAACCTATGACCCTCCTACCCCAGCCTTGCAGGTGTACATCATCACACCCGCAGGAACCCTCTTCTCTCCAACCCATGGGCCACCTGGTTTCCTTGCCTCCTATCTTGCTGCTTTCGTCTTCCTTGCTGGGTGTTGGTGCTGTGGAGGAGACGCTGAAGTCTTTCCTGCTTGCAGCAACGGCAGCATCGTGGTGGAAAGTGATGTCATCCTAGAAGCAAACTACACCCCAGAGTATCAGACACTGTTCAGAAACCTCACGAAGATTGTGAAGGACAAGATCATAAAGGAGACCAGAACATATGAAACTGACATGTCCCTTTGTCAAAGTAAGCCCTTCTGAAACTCCTTGACACTGGTGGGAAGGAAGTCTGGGTGTTCCTGGGATTTTTGTTTTTTACTCTTTGGGGGCCCACCACCCAGACGCCAGCTTTTCTAACTTAAATTATTCCCTTTCTCTTTAACTACATTTTGCCTCTGGGCTTTTGCCTTTCTTTATTTTCTTCCTTACTTTGTGGCTGGCTGTTGGCCAGCCCCTGGCATCCCTCCTCTTCTCTTTTTCTCACTCTTCTCTTGAGCCTAGATTTCTCCTCCTGTTTATCCTCTCTGCCTGCCAGCCCCGCCTACCCTTGCTCCTGCCTTGCTATTGGCTGTTCAGCTCTTTATTAGACCAATCAGGTGTTTTAGACAGGCAAAGAATCACAGCTTCACAGAGTTAAACAAATGCAACATAAGAGAATACAACACATCTTTGCATCATTAAACAAATGTTTCACAGCATAAACTAATGTAACACATCTTCAATTAATATCCCACAACACCTGGGTCTTCACGTCTCTCTCTCTCTCTCCCTCATTTGGAATAGCAGAGTCCCCACCATAGAGATCTAGAAATCAGCCCTGTGTGTTAGCTCACACCTGTAATCTCAGCAGTAAGGAAGCTAAGGCAGAGGATTGTCATGGATTCAGAGCTGGTCTGGGCTCCACAGTGAACTCCAGGCTTATAGTCCTTTTCAACAAAAGGCAGGGGATGCTGGAGAGATGGCTTAGAAGTTGAGAACACTTGCTGCTCTTGCAGAGGACCTGAGTTCAGTTCTCAAAGCTGCCTGTAACTCCAGCTCCAGAAGATCCAATACCTTCTTACCCTTTTCTGGTCTCCACAGCCATCCCTACACACATGTGAAAACACACACACACACATACACACACACACTCTCTCTCTCTCTCACACACACACATACACACACACACACTCTCTCTCTCACACACCCACAGAGAGGTAAAAATGAAATAAAAAAATAAATCTTAAGGGGTTGGGGATATAGTTCAGTAGTAGGTAGTAATGCTTGCCTAGCAAGTGCAAAGCCCTTAGCTCTGAAAAAACAAAACAACAGAAAAGAAACCCCAACAAAAACAAAACAAAAAACAAGATAACAGGCACAGACCGCCACAGTAGTGGTGGCACACGCCTTTAATCCCAGGCAGGTGGATCTCCATGAGTTTGAGGCCAGCCTGGTCTACACATTGAGTTTAAGGACAGCCAGGTCTGTTACATAGAGAAATCCTGTCTTAGAAAACAACAAATAAAAATATAAACAAATTTTAATAAGCAAATTATTAATAAAGAAATCTTTTGGAAAATCCACAACAAAACAAAGCCATCCCTAGTGCCTCCCTGACTCCATCCTGCTCCCTGCCACCCTGATATGATCCTCAGGGCATGGTGGTAGCAGGGAGCACCTCCCATCAGGGGAAGGAGGCTGAAGCTGTCGCCTCCATGTCCATGTGTGAGCCTGCTCACAGGATATGGCTGTCTATCTGGAGCTCTCACATTGGTTCAGTGTGGACCGCTAATACAGAAGGGGGAAGTTGAGGGAGATGTGGGGAGGAAGGACGAGGGGAAGCAGATGAAGGGAGGGGGAAGGAGGGAAAAGGGAGAGAAGTAGTAGGAGGAGGGGAGTGGCGGGGGGTGGGGGTGGGGTGGAGGGGAGGAGAAAGGGGAGGAGCCCTGGTGGGAGAAGGGGAGGGGCCTAGTGGGAGAAGGGGAGGGGCTTGGGTGGGGGAAGGGGAAGAGCCTGGGTGGGGAGAAGGAGGCCTGACTGTTGACAAAGAGGCAGAAAGAAGTTTGTGTGGTTTTCACTGTGTTTTTCTGTTCCCTTTATCGTGGGCAGACTCCAAACTGTGCTACAATGGTAACTTCACCACTGTGGGTGTGGAGACTCCTAAAGTTCAGCTTCAACCCTGCCGGTGAGCAGCCCCTTGGAGCTATGGGCCGGAGCGGGTGGAGTGCGGATGGTAAACAGGGACCCAGGGAGAGTTCTAGCCCTGCTGTACTGACTCTAGCTGTCCTTCCTCACCCTGTAGATCTTTGCATCCAGAAGGCTGCCGAGGACTTTGGCAGATACTTCTACCCGGAGCTTGTGGAGGGGAAGGTTGACCTGCGTGAACAATTGCACTCAGGGGACAAAGTCACAACTCAACTGCAACCTGGGCCAGTGCCAGCTGCTACGCTCAGGGCCCCATTGTGTGTGAGTGCCTACCTCCTTCCCCCTGATGGGAGGTGCTCCCTGCTACACCTTGCCCTGAGGATCATATACCATTCTGCACCCCCCTCCAGTGCCTGAGTAACTAGGTGCGTGGATGACACCTACCACCCCCCAGTGCCTGAGTAACTAGGTGGGTGGATGACGTGGGTAAATAACAAAGCAACTGTATCTAGCAATGGAGATGCTTGGAAGGCACCTCTGCTGTCTTCTACACCTCTCCCCCTCTACAGGGATCTTCCCGCACCCTCGGTCATCATGAGAGTGATGGGTGGCCATGTGTTCTTAGATTCCGGCATTCTCCAGTGCAGCCAGGGCTTTTTTCTGAGAAGATTCAAGTTATTTGTCCGTCTCCTTGCGACCCAGTCACATCCTCTATTCCTTCTTCCCTCCTTTCCCTTCTTTATTTCCTTCCTTCCCTCCCCCTTTTCTTCATTTCTTTCTCAGACTGGGTCTCGGTAGTCCAGGTTGGACTGGAACTCACTGTGTAGCCCAAGCTGCCTCCATTTTGAACAAATCTTCCCTCCACAACCTCCCCGAGTTCTGGGATTCTGGACCTGAGCTATCATGCCTAGCTCCGTCATTAATTTCTGTTGTGACATTTCAGCCGTGAACACTTCTAGCTGCAACCTGGGCGTACTAGTTTCCATGATCATAAATTAATGTACAAAATAGTAAGCATGATAAGAGGTCCTTTCGGGTGCCAGCTGCTTTGAGATTAGATATGCAAGCAAGGGCATAGCTAGGACAAAAACACTCAGGTTCCTGGAGTCCCTCTGAGGTCTGGCATACTGAGCTCCCCCTCTCCCACACTTTACAGACTCAGGGACCCTGGCTTCCCCAGACACACATACATCCCTACCTTTAGGAGAGGTCCCTGGGCTTTAGGTATTTAATTTCCCCTCAGGAGACCTGATATAAGGGGCCTAGCCTGAGCCTCTGTGTGTGTGTGTCTCTTCAGGTGCCCGAACACAGACACCCACTGGTACTGGGGGAAGACCTGCACGTCTAGAACCAGCAAGAGACTTGTGTATGGACTCGTGGGCACCGGGCTGGCAGTGCTGCTGGTTCTAGTGGTCTTGGCTGTCTTCCTTAGTCGAGCCCAGAAAAAACAACACAGGTGAGAGCTCATGAGCCCAGCCACCATGGTCCCAGAGAGAGGGACCAATTGGGGAGTGAGGACACTTCCCCCCCCAGAAGTCACTGTTAATGCTCTGCAATTCTTCGGTTCCCAGTCTTGCGGTGAAGAAGTTGGCTGAAGCCAAACAGGGTGTCTAGCCCCACCCACCGCTGCACATCACCAGTGGCAGCTTTTGTTTTTTAAATCTGATAGGGTAGGGTAGTCACTTTGAGTGAGAAATGGAAACAGAAACTTAAGCACCGAAATTAGATGATACAATAAAATTGTATTTTATTATCTAGGCTGCCTTAGAGAGTGAGTAATGAGGGGGGGCTGGGACTGAGCCAGACAGGGTGAGATGCACATTTGAAGAACTGTCAAGAGACAGGCACTAGAACATCTGGGCTAGAAGTGAGCAGAAGGGATTATTGCAATGCTCCTATTTCATACCTGAGGAGCCTGAGGGATGTTGAGGGAGCCGGGTCTCTGCCTGTGGAGACAGAGAGACCAGAGTGAGTCTAGTTGTCAACCCCCATGGCCATTACTTTAGTCATCGCTTCCCATGACGTTACTTTGAAGGGAAGAGATGCTATCGCCCCTTCAGGGTCAGGGTCTGCCATGGCCCCTCCTACTCCTCTAATATGAAGCCTCTCACTCATGACACTGCTGTCTGCAGGGCAAAATACGACCCATCTCAAGCATGGCGGAGAGAAGCCCTCCCTGGAACCTTCCAGAGCACAGGTGTCTGGGAAGGTAACTGTTCTTGGGGGAAAGGTGAAAGCGGGAAAGCTACAGTGGCTATGGGGGTAGGACACGAGTCCTGCTATGCTGTGACCCGATGATAGCTCTTGTCACCTGTGCCCCTGCATCTCAGTGCACCCACCCCCTGCCCTTCTGTGGTCCCTTGGTTCCTTGTCCCCTTCTCCTTCCCTGGCATCATCAGGCTTCGCACTGGCCTCGTCGCGTTTTTGTTTTAAGCTACATTTATTTAGTAGGCACTTGTGTGTGATGCTATGAGGGCAGAGATCAGAGGAAGCTGTGGAGAGCCAGTTCTTCCCTTCCACAGTGAGTCCCTGCATGGGACTCTGGTCACCTTACCCATCTCACTAGCCTGACCTCTGGTCCTTTTTCAGCTTCTCCCCCATCAAATTCCCAGGGCCTCTGTGGAGTAATTCCCTCCCCCTCCACATTTCTATATACATCACACCACTGTCTGGTAGGATCCACTCCCAGCCACCTATCCCAGACCCAAACTTACTGCTTCTATAACCTATGATCCCTCCCCTCTCCAGGGACCTCCACTTTGTCCTTAATCTTCCCTGATTCCTGAGCAACTCAGGGGCCCCTGTGCTGTGTCTGCCAGCTCTGTCCATGCTACCTAACTTCTTCTCTAATCTGTATGGCTGCCTCTGCCCAATTCCTCCCCGGAGCAGGCTTAGACTTCCCACCTTCCCAGCGCACATTTGGGGAGTTGTGCTAGCATGCACTCGTGTGCAGAGGTCAGTCTCGGGTGTTGATCCCTAGAAGCTGTACAGTTGTTTTGGAGGACAAGTCTTTCATAGGAACTTGGGACTCATGGATTGGGTCAGACTGGCTGGCTAGAGTCACAGGGATCCGCCAGTCTGTTTCCCTGGCACTGGGGTCGTGAGCGAGTATCAGCTGTGCTTAGCTTTTCATGTGCAATTCTGGGGATCAAACTCAGGTCCCAAGTATTTTTGAGGCAAGCATTTTACCAACCGATTCATCACATCAGTTACCCCCACAGCTGTTTGCTGTCACTGTGTAGTCCAGGGTGATCTCAAGCAAGCCACAGTGTAGCATAGGTTGGCCTTGAATTTAGAGATTCTCCTAATTTAGCCTCTCGAGTGTTGGGATTACATGTGTGCACCGCCACACCCACAGTTCCTGCTTCCTCGGTTTTATTTTTATGAATCCTTATGTGCCTCCCTTTTCCTAGTGATTCAGGGTAGACTCAGAGTCATCTCATGCCCGTGAGACAAGGGTGTCAGGTACACAGCCACTCTCTGAAGTGCCAGCACATAGCAGTGCACAGGTTATAACCATAGCACCTGGCCAGGAATAACCCAGACTGAGCTTCGGGTCACTGAAGGCTTCCAGTTTAAGTTTGAGTCTCCAAGCAGTGACTCAGAGGTCAGCTTCTGTTCCTGAATATATAGAGTGAGGCCCTTCTCAGGCATGAGTCCACACTCCTGTAATCCCAGCATTAGGGAGGTGGGCGAAGAAGCATCAAAATTTCAAGATCATTTTATGCTACATAGCAAGTTTGAGACTAACTGGTCTATGTGCCCTCCCCCCCCCTAAAAGAAACGATGGCTTTGGAAGGCTTTGATCAAGAGCTGGGTGTGTAGTGTTGCGTATTTGTTTATTTATCTGGTGCAGGGTCTAACTATGTAGCCCAGGCTAGCTTTGAACCCATGTGTCAGCCAAGTCTCTGAGCTGACAGGTATATAAATCACCAAGTCCACAGATGAGTTTTAAGTGGGTCACTCAGATGGGTCTGAGGGGGACAGTATGGGAGACAAGGACAAGGAGTTAGGATGAGTAGGCTCAGGAGATGAGAAATAGATGGGCAACCAGACGAGGCTGGGGAGCTGGGGTTGCTGGCAGGCTGAGGAGGGGATTGTGTAGGACAGAGCATCTGAGGCTGATCTTAGGAGTACGGGGCGGCTGCTGCGTTGGGCATCCAAGAGAGAAGCCTGTGGGGCACACTGACGCCCTGGAAGGGGAGGGCTCTTGGACCTCAAGGTAGCACCAGGAGTGGGCAAAGGGAGGGTTGGCAATTACAGAGGGAAAGGGGGCAGGCCTCCTAGGACCCCTTAGAAGTGCAGCCATTGCAGGAAGCACCCTAAGACGTCCACTGGGGAATGGCCAAGATGATAAGGGAAACAACTACAACTACAAACAAAACAGTGGAGTCCAGGAAGACAAGAAGAGCTGCAGGATTCAGGAAGAGGAAGTAGCTATTGCTGATGAATAACAGGGCCACAGTAACAATTTCCCGAAAACCTGGGTTGTCTGCGTGTTTACACAGTTGCTAAGGGCTGGCAGGTGAGGGGCGGTATATGACTCAATGACTCAAGAGGCTGCTAGCTGTCTATTCCCATCTGTTCCTCACACCGATGGCAATGACTCCCCCATGGGTATGACCTGTGACCCATGATACATAGGTCACAAGTGGGTAGGAAGGCTATTCTCTCTCTCTGGTGTCCCTGCATCACCCCAGAGCAGCTTCCAGGCTCAAGTCAAGTCCACTAAGACTCCATCATGGATTAGAAAAGCAGTTAACTTCGTTTTCCTGGAGCCCGCACCCTACGCCATACACACTCCACCTGCCCATGGCTGCCCCGGCCTCCTCCAGGGAAACCCTTCTTACACCATACCTTTCCCTGCAGACCGGGATCTGAAAGAGGACAAATTTGGCCTGGAGAAAGGGTACAGACACTTCCAGCCAAACCTGCAGCATGTGGACCCCAATACTAAGGTGACATGGCTAAGAGATTCCCCACCTTGGGGCTGCCCACTCTTCTACTCCGGGTTTCCCTACCCTGTTCCCCACCCCCACTCCTCCTATCCCTACTTGATTGCATCTGTCTCTCCCATCCCCCAGCTCAACTTTCAGAGGCCCAAGGCGGTGAAATCAGAAGCTCCCTGAGAACAACAGTGTCTACCCATCATGCCCCATCCAGATTTAGACACAGGTATTCCTGGCTGGTTAAGACGAAGCTGACACCAGGTCCCAAAGCTTTGAGTGTCTAATCTAAGGTGACCAGAGTTGGTCCATAGGTCATTGCCAGAAGACTGGAGCAAAGAGCCAGGCGCCACCTCCTCCTCAGCGTCACCTCCATGTTCGGAAGCCCAAGGTCTCTGAACACTCTTGGCATCTTTATCTTTGTGTAGGTTCCACCCTGCTCTGGAATTTCCCTATCAATAAAGCTCTTCAGTGCAGAACCTTAAGTTTTCCTCTCTTCCTGATGTGTGTGCTGGGGGAGGAGGGGGACGGGCCGGCAGGGTGGCCTGGTGGGTTGCATCTGGAAGTAATGGAGGGAAATGTCTTAAGCCCTTCTCTGGGCAGAACAACCTTCCCAGGGGTTAAACATTCCCATCCCAGTGTCTGGAGCACTTACCTCTTCCAGCTGGAGCAGGGCAGGCCCACCTCTGCCAGAAGACACTGAGGACGGACAGACCCAAGGCCAGACCTTAGGGACAGAGAGCAACAGGTGGGAACCTCCAGAAGGCTGAGGACTAAGCACTTGGTTCCATGTCCTTCAAGGCGGACAAGACCACTCCAGGTGGCCATAGTGATGGCGAGAGGGCCTTGCTGACCTCTGCACTCACACATTTAAGAGTTCCCGATGGACAGGGGGAGAGCACTGAAAGAGACTACTGGAAGGAGTGGGGGCATTTCACTGTCAGATAAAACCCTGGCACAAGGGAATTTAATCCCCCAGGTATCCACAAGGATGACCCAGCTAAGATTCCTAGCAATAGTGGTTACGTAGCCCCAACTGGTCCTCCCCTGTGACCAGATTGGTGCCTAGCCCAATTGTCATCAGAGAGCTGTCATCCAGCAACTAATGAAAGCAGACGCAGACGCACAGCCAAACATTAGGCAGAGCTCGGGAACCCTGCAGAAGAGGGGGAGAAAGATTGTAGGAGCCAGAGGGGTCACAGCCACCACAAGAAAACTCACAGAATCAAGTAACTGGGCTCATAGGGGCTCACGGAGAGTGAACCAGCAACCAGGGAGCCTGCACGGGACTGACCTAGGCCCTCTGCATATATGTTACAGTTGTGGCTTGGTCCTTTTGTGGGACTCCTAATAGTGGTAGCAGAGGCTGTCTTTGACTGTTTTGCTGGTTTTGGGACCCTACTCCTCATACTGGGTGGCCTTGCCCAGCCTTAATACATGGGGAGGTGCTTAGTCTTACTGCAACTTGATATGCTGTGCTGTTTTGATACTCATGGGAGACCTGCCCTTTCCTAATGGGGGAGTGGGTTGGGGGTTGGGAAGAGAGGGGACTAAGCAAGGGGGACTGGAAGGAGAGGAAGGAGGGAAATCTGTGGCCAGGATGTTAAATATGTATATACATATTCCTGATCATCTCAGGGATATACATATTCCTGATCATCTCAGGGTGTCATAACTTAAACCCCATGTCCTTCTGGGGTGCCTATAGGACAGAAAGAGGGTCAGCTTGAGGGATGTTCTGTAGATATTCTCTCTGTGGAAGGGCCAAGAGCACCACCCTTCTGCTGGGGTGATAAATCTCATTACCTACCTGAACACCTATACACTTGTCTGGCTGGGAATGGGGACCGCTCCCTTTGCTCTTTGGCCCAGAGTGGCCAGCCCCCACCCTTCATCATATGGGAAGCTGCCAGATTGACTCCTATTCACACTAACCCCCTGGCACTCTCAGTATCTCAGAGGTCAAAGGTCTCTTGGCCTTTTTTATTTCTGGGGTTCCGTGGCTCACATTCATTTTGCCAGCAGTCAGGAGGACTACCTGCCCTGTGCGCGATGTCGGGGAAGATGAGAAAAACTGTGGCGCTCTGCCTGCTGGCTCTCATCCTCCACTTCCAGCCCCAGTCCACTGCTGCTGAGGAGGGTAAGTAGCTTCCCAGTCCCACTGCCCCTTCCCTACAAGCCTGCATCTGTGAGCTGCCAGGCTCCGTGCAGAGCTCCCTTTGCCTTCCACGGCAGCTGAGACATCTTCCACTCTCTCGGCTCTCAGCTTTAGACTTCCCCTGAATATCTTTCCTTCCCTAAAGCTCATTTGGGGAAGGACCAGTTTCCTCTCTGGGCTGCCAGCACTAGCGGGAGTGCAGGAACAGGTGTCAGTTGACCCGGCTGCTTGGATTAAGCAGAATCATCCCTTTGAAGAGGGGTAGACACCCAGCCATGTTAAACAGAGCCCGTGTTTAGTGTTTATCTTCGGAGTGTCCCTGTCAGACTCTCTTATCCCCCGTCTCTATGCCGATTGCCCCCAAGGTCTTTGTGAGTGAGGAGAGGGTGTGAAGATAGAGTCTGCTCATGATTTAGGCCAAGCTCACCTAACACTCACCATGTGACCATTTCTGATCCTCCTCCCTCAGCCTCCCGAGACTGGGTTGGTAGGGTTGTCTTCACATAACATACAACACATGCTTCCTTGTTCCTCTCTAACTTCTGTCCTGACGTGTGTGTGTGTGTGTGTGTGTGTGTGTGTGTGTGTGTGTGTGTGTGCACCTACAAGCAGAGGAAGCCATAGGACCACAGCAAAGTGTGGGATGTCAGGAACCCCAGATCTTTATCACAAACTGTGTCAGTAATCTGTTCAACTCCTCTGGTCTCAGCTTTCTCCTCGGAAAAGACAAGGGTTAGTCTGTCCTAGGTGGGAAAAGCCTACCACCCCTGTCACTCAGAAAGAATTGAAAGTTCAAGACTGCTACAGAGTGAGTTCAAGGACAGCCTCGACAACTTAGTGAGAGCCTGTCCCAAAATAAAAATTTTAAATAGGACTGGGAGCCGGATAGGGTGGCATGAGCCTTTAGGACTTGGGAGGCAGAGACAGGTGGTTCTCTATGAGTTTGAGGCCATCCTGATCTACATCGTGAGTTCCAGGCCAGCCTGGGTTACTTAGAGAGACCCTAAAACAAATCAGACAAACCAGCAAAGACTGGGAAGCTGGGCATGGTAGCAAGTACTTTTAGTCCCAGCACTCAGGAGGCAGAGGCGGATCTAGTGAGTGAGTTTCATAGCAGCCAGGGCTACACAGTGAGATTCCATCTCAAAAAACCATTAAAAAACAAATAACAAGATAAAGCAAAAAAGGGGGGGGCTGTGCTTGCCTAGAATTCTCTAGAGAGGCTAGCTGACTCAGCAGTAGTGTGGCACCGAAGGGCCAGGCTGCTATGATGTAGAGTGCTTGCTTAACATGTGGGAAGCCCTTTTTAAACTCATTTTACACATGTGTATGTGTGTCTGCACATGGGTACCCCAGACAGCACAGGGGATGTTGGATTCCTTGAGTTGCAATTACAGACGTTTGTGAATTGCCCTGATGTGGGACGCTGGGATCTGAACTCCAGTCTCCAACAGAACAGCAAATGCTCCTAACCCCAGAGCCATCTCTCCAGCCCCTAGCATTTGGGATTTCTAATTTAGTTGCTAAGAACTCCTCAAAGACATGAGAGAGGCTCGCAGCCAGACTGCCTCTCTGCCTGGCCCCAGAGAAGGAAGAGAAGCTGAAGCAGAAACAAAAGCCACAGACCCCAGCACTCACTCCTCCCCCGATTAGATGACACCTAGGGAGGGTCAGAGGGGACAGAAGAGATCTTACAGTAACGAGCGAGCGGAGTTCCCTTGTTAAGATGCCATCTTTATAAAGACCTGCTTTAGACTTTGTTCTGCCTTGGAACTCGCTTTGCCAGGGACTGCCCCTTGGGCCATGCCCCCGCCAGCTCTTCTCTGTGAGGACTTGGCATGGAGGGGCAGGACAGATGAGGGCAGCTCTTTCGCTGGTAGCATTTAAACTCCTATAGGGTCCCAGCAGGGCAGGAGCTTCCCAGGGTCCTGTCTTCCATCCACCCCATTCTCTCTCTCCTCTACCCTCTCTCCTCTTTCTGTATCTCCTCTCCACGACTTTCTTACCCCCACCTTGGTCTACCCCCTATGCTATATATGACCCATTCATCTCTATTCTCGATTTCCCCCTCTGTAGAATGGAAATTTCCAGATTCTTTCTGCTCTGCTGAGTTTTATACACTCCCTCCTCCTCGAGGCCTGGTCTCTAGGATCCTGATCAGAGTCCATTAGCATCTGGTTCCTACTATGATCCTTATCCAGGGACCCAGGGCACTACGCCTCTTCAAGGCCACTGGACTTGGCTATGACAGGGTAGGGTGTAGCTACAGAAAAAACCCAGTGAACTCAGCTAAGCCCTGCCTGGAAGATGCCCTCTTATCTTCTTAGGTATCAATGAGACACAGTTTCCTCTGGGCTTGCCTACAACTATTCAGCCTTAGCAATCACACCCTCCTGTCCCCGCATCCATGATGACAGTGACTAAGGCTCAGAGTCTCCCGTCCATAAGTGCCATCTCACTCACTACCTTTCACTAGTCCCAGACACTTGACCCATCTTTTATTACTATCACTGTCCCACCCCCGAGTTGCCATAGTGACAATCCACAACCTGGGTGGCTTAGAATGGCAGAGAATTCTCATCTCACATTTCTGGTTGGAGGGGTCAAGCAGGGTGGCCATCTTTGTTGTTACTGTTGCTTTAATTTATTTTGTGTGTGTTGAAGGGATGGTCAGAGGGCTGGGATCCAGGGATGCGACTCAGGCCATCATATTAGTTGCCAAGTGTCTTTACCTGCCGAGCCATTTCACCAGCCCACCTCATTCATTTAGAAGGCACTCTGCAAGGGTCTGTCCCCGAGAGCCTGATGGCTGCTGGCAAATCTCTGCGTTCTTCGTCTCCGTGACATTCTCCCCACATTCACACCTGTGTTGGGTCCAGGTATCTTCCCAAGAATAAGGACACTGGTGATGCTGGGTTAGGGATCACGTGATGATGCTGGGTTAGGGATCACGTGAATGACCTGTTTGACACGATGCCTTGCAAGGTTGCCACAGCAAAACAAAACTTAACAGACAGGGATCTCCCGAGGTGCTGGGGGTTAGGGCTTCAATGCAAATAACAGAAAAATGAGGGGAGGTGGGCAGATGAGGTAGCTGGGTTTGATTCTTCCCCGATTTCCTCCCCCCCCCTCCCCCTTTCTCCTTTCTTTCCTTCCTTCCTCCCTCCCTTATTTTCTTTCTTTTTTTTCTCCTGTGGTGCTGGGTTCCAACTCAGGGCCTCATGCTAGCTAGGCAAGCATTTTACACTGAGCTGCAGCCCCAGTTCAAGGGCTTCCTTTACAGTAGCAATTGCTGAGCCAGTGAGATGGCTCAACAGGTAAAGGCAT